TCCATCCACATATCAAAGCTGCAATCTAAGGTGAAGGCCAAGCTTGGTTTCCTTTACAGAAATCGCTCTTCCTTCACCACTTCTGCCAGACTTACTCTTATTCAAATGACCATTCTACCCATGTTAGACTATGGAGACACTATATACAGGGTTGCTTGCAAGTCCACTCTATCAACTCTTGACACTCTTTACCATTCAGCTATCAGGTTAGCCATAAATGCTCCTTTCAATACACACCACTGCGCTTTATATTCATCTGTCAACTGGTCCTCCCTTCACAATCGCCGCAAAATTCATTGGTTCACTTTCATTTATACGACCATTCTCGGCCGCTCACCTCCTTACTTGTGTCACCTGCTGCAGCCAAAGCCTGTCACATACAACACCCGGTCCTCACTTCATCTTCAATTATGTATTCCCAAAACTAACTCGGCATTTGGTCTTGCTTCTTTTCAATCTGCAGCCGCTCGCGACCGGAATGCTCTGCAAAATATTCTTAAATTAGATACACTAATTTCAATTTCATCTTTTAAAACTATTATATCATCCTTGTTCACGGACACATGCAGTTGCTTCTCCACATAATCATTTTGTGTTTTAAATTGTATTTAATGTAATTGTTAACCTGTATGTATTTCTAATGTACTGTATTTATTTTAGCCCCATTTCCTTTCCCTAAGTGGTTATTCCACTTGTCAGGCCGCCATTGTATATAAGAACTTGTTCTTAATGACTTGCCTGTAAAAATAAAGAAAAAAAAAAGAAAAAGAAAAAAAAAAACTCTCTCTTGACCGCGAAAGAAGAATGTCATACAGCAGGATGGCTTGAGGGTAAGTAAATTTTCATTTTTGTGTGAACTATTCCTTTAAAACTTTCATACCTCTAAGTCATAAGACTATTCTAATTACATGTCAGAACAAAGTCATTTGAGCCTTAGAAGAAATACAATAAATCAATAAAAATGACCAATTTAGCACATGGTTCTCAGAAAATGGCTGCATGACTTAACACCCCAGACTTAAATAATAGGTTTAAACATTCCCTAAGGCTTTGGTGTTCTCATCTGTCATCTTTAGCCTCGCTTTAGTCTCACACCTTAATTAAAGAACAGAACCTACAGCAGGTCATGAGTCTGGGGATCCAATAAACAGGTGTATGTGATTGTGTGAGGGGAGAAAGACAAAGATGCACACAAAGGTAAATCAAGAGGCAAGAACAAAAAGGTAATGAGAAAGAGGGCTTTTTATTCCGTTAATGAAGTCCACGTTGTTTCTAAGGTGGACAGGTCCCTGTGTGATCTGGGCAACTTTCAAACTATTGTACCTTTATTTAGGTGTTCATTCAAATGAGGTTCGCCACAATTCTCTTTCCTCGGATAGCTAAATCAACAGTGTGCTGCACAGAAATATCCACTCTAAAAACAAGAGCAACGTCCCTGTCAGTAAAAGTGTAAGCTGAATATTGTTGTTGTGTTTAAGATTTACAAACCGCTCTGTTCCCAAATATACAGAAAGATTGTCAAGTCAAGTGTGATGAAAGGCCTACCTGTAAGTAACAAACAGGTGTTTAGTGGTGTTCAGACACAGTAAAGCTTCAATTGTGAGAACAAGGAGACTTCAGAAGGTATGTTTCCCCAACCATATAAGCCAGCTGTTGGGGTAAATTTCCCATTTCTCTTGCCTTTAAATGACGGCTGTTGTTTCTACCGTGACCCTTCCACCATTTAGCTCTCTCAGTTTCAGGTGGGCTATCACTATTACAACTTTTTTATACCAGACTGTTTACGGTTGCCATGGCAACCATGCCAGAGTCAAACTGTACCCTAGCAACGTCATAGCTTGTGTTACTAATGGATGGTTCAGGTTTCCTGCCCATCAGAAAGGAGAATTAAACACATGGAAAACGTTGAGATGAACGATAAAACCTGATAATGTGATTACATTGTTGTCTATGCTGCCACATAAAAAAGCCTGATGAAAATGTATTCTCTTGATCACTAATGCTTATTTTCCATACTATTAAGTGATTTTTATAATGCATTAAACTGCATATAAAATCAACGATACGATAGATACGATACTGGTTTTTGACATAATAATAACTACATGATCATTAGACTACAACAATAAAAACATAATATGCACTAATACTTATACTGGTGATTACTGTTGTTATTACATTATAATTATTGTGATCTACATGGTCAAAAAAGTTCATGAAAATAAAAACGTGTTATCGGTATATCTCAAAACTGCCTTCTAAAGTCCTTAATAACAAGTGAAAAAACACCCAGGTTTTGAAGTCACAGCCAAAATTTGGACTAATATGAATTTGTTTTGTCATGTACAGCAGGTTAACACCTGCAAACGTTTATCAAAACATTATTATACTAAAGGGCATTTGTGATTTAGAACAAACCATTTCCAACTCTTTCTTCATCTATTCATTAAACAGAAACAGTAACATTTTTAAGAGAAACAATGCATATTGCATTTAAATAGTGCATGTGTCAGATTAAAGCATTTAAACATACTTTCTAGGAGTCGGGGAAAGGTTATCTACAAGCAGCCATTGATGATATCATCAGGCCGTTTTACATGCCTTCAAGACTTGAAGTCACATTAACACACTGCATTACAGTCAGGTGACACATTATGACGACCGTGCTATCTGATGAAGGCTAATGAATACCTAGACAATCAATCAAAGAACAAATCCATGGTGTGATCAGAGTGAATTCTTGTTAGGGGTTATCTGTATTTCTTTAACCACAATGGGGGATTTCCCTGCTCATGCAAAAAGCTTTTTATATTCATCAAACAAGGCTAAATAAAATTTAGACATCCTATTTTCTGTGCTTTTTATTTTGTTTAATTTTTATACAATAAGCATGGACAAAACGTACCGTGACAAGTCCATTTTCTGCTAAATTAGGTAACAAATGAACTTGATCTAAATCTCTAATGTTTCACTAAGGTCACACAACTGACATACCACAAAAGTCCAGTAACAACCGCATTCCAGGACCTGGAGCTTCGTAAAAAGACCTTGCAACTTAACAACAAGTTCAGGGCTTAATGTTGACAACACACCCCCGCTAAAGACCCCACTAAAGACACTACATGCCTGGAAAGAATGACGTTAGTGAGAATAAGCGATTGGCTAATGGATGCTTTGCGTGTGGTTGGCGAGTTCGAATACTTTCAATATGCAAAGAAATGTAAAACCTGCTAGGCCACATCCTTTTCAAAGAATGGATGTCCTCTATTCACAAGAGGAAAAAACAGCTGATTGTATCTTACAGTAAATCTTAATTTCATGGAAAACAGATAAGATTGTTAAGTATTAAAATAATATCTCACAGAGATTGAAAGAAAAATATCTTCCCAAAACAAAATGCTGTACAAAATCATTTAAAAAACTAAAAACAGCCACATTAGACTTCTACCATCACACCATTTCTGATTAATACTATGGTTTTCACTAGAATTGAACAACATATACACAGGTGTATCACAACAGAAGACTGTAAGGTAAAGTCCAAACAACTGGCATTCATGACAACAGACATTAAACTGGCCGAACAGGATCTTCCCTCCCCCACTGCACACGTGCATGCTTATATGGCCTTTAAATGATACTGCTCTGACAAGATGGAAAAAAAATTAATGAAAATGCTGTATAAGTGGTGAGTTTTTTATATTATTATTTTGAATTACATTACATCATGGGACACTCTTTTACATACATCAAATCCAAATGGGACACTCACCCAGCACTGAAGTGGGGACTGAATGATGTAATTTACATTTGATACCGGTTTAGAGAGAAACTGTAAACTGTGCAGGGCAGAATATTAGCACATTTATGCTTGCATTCACCAAGCTGGCCATGCTGGGAGGTTTATTTGGTCTGGATATATCTTAAAAATGATAAAAATGCATGATTTGAATACACACGTTCTATAATGAATCTATTTTGTGTACACTTGTGCTTATCCAGAGTGCAGGGAAAGTGTTTTAGTACTTTTTATTGGTTACACGATTTGACGTCTTTAGTAGCCCTATCAATTATTTTGTGTGTAGGCTATATCTCACCTTGGACATCCTTATATGTCATTGACCCATGCACTGTAAAAATTTCTAACCTCCCCAACTCAAAATTTTCTAGTGACTGCAGGGTCACATCTAAATTTTTTAATTGGCCCAAGGGAAATTCGGCAAATTTAATTTTATCACTTTGCAGAATTTCACTTGGGCCAATTGAAAAATTTAGATGTGACCAGTCACTAGAACATTTTGAGTTGGGAGGGTAGAAATTTCTACAGTGTGTGTACATTTAGGCTATCCTTATTTTCTTTTTACCCAGAAAAGAGCCAAATATAAACTAGACTATTTTGTAAATGTCATTAGGTAATAATTAAGGCATCTCACAGATTACAGGACGTCATTTAGAAACCTTAAGTGGCCTATTTGAACAATTATCCAGAATTTATCTATTTTACAACAAAACATGAAAACACATCGAAGACTAGGATATTTATTTTATAATAACTGACATTATCTCTTTATTTTAGTTTAGATTTTTTTTTTTTAGATCGACGATAAGCAGAAGTTGAATGTCAGTCTTACTGCAAGATGCCCCCTGCTAAACTAGCCTATCGCTGGCCAGTTAAATATTAATGAAGTGGGCCGGTAAAAGTGAGCAGGTAAATCTTTAGATCACGTCCCAAACGCTTACTTGTTTCTCAATCCTCAGGAAACTATTTTAAAGACATCATGTGTCGAGTAGCCTACTCGATCATATTAAAAAACAAAACAAAACAAAAAACAGTGAGACTTCAAAACATGTCACATGCAGGAGCAGCGCGACCACAAAACAACACAAAGGACACACCTAAGTTTAATCTTCGTGTAAATAGCGAAGGGTAATTTATCCGCGCTCACAATGTTGCGCGTAACACCTGTTTCTAAAAGGAAACGCCGCCCTTCGCCGCTTACCTGTACAGGTGAACCCGGTAAATTCGGTGTCCTAATGTAGGCTATGTGAAATTCACGTCCCCTCAATCTCCTGAGCCTCTGACACTTTTACATACATCCACAAACGGTGTTGGCCGGTTAAAACTGCCCGTTTGCCACAACAGGCGAGGTGGTTTTCCCAATGGCAATGAGATGAGGCGTTGTGTATCAGAACTCCGGGGAGGGCGGGATTATGCGAAACCTCAATTCACAGTCACTGCAGGGAGTGGTCGAGCCATGGCAGAGTAAACGCTTTAGAACAATAGAGACTTCGGCCTTCCAGATCCCCTGGGAAGCGTCAGGTGCGTCGTTTGCTCTTTCGACACAGGTATATTTGCATTTGAGGAGCGTAGGCACAGCGCTTCCGTTTAGGCAGAGCAGTGTTATCATTAAGACTCGCAGAGTCATTGACCACTCCTGAGGATAACATCATCATTCTACCTTTGACGTCAATTTCGAGGATCAATTAAGTGTTCGGTTATAAGGATGCAGTTTACAAGACTTCTTAAAAGTTCATTGGTAACACTTTACAATAAGGACTCATTAGTTAATGCATTACTAACACGAACTAACAATGAGAAATGCATTTTTACAGCTACAAATTTTAACTAGTGTTACCAGATATCATTTTTTTATCTTAAAAATTCATTATTAAATTTTGAGATTAACTAAGAATAAGTGCTGTAAAAGTAATGTTTTGTTGTAGGCTAAGTAAAGTGTCAGCTAATGTTGCTAACCAATGTAACAAATGAAACCTTATAGTGTTAACACTTACAATAATTAATATCACTAGTTCATAACAACAACTGCAGTAACTATCTAAATAGAATCTCAAAATCACAGTTTGTGTGTTTATGACATAAACGTTTCTAGCACAAAAAAATAAAACTTTTAAAATAGTTTCCCACCAAAAGTTCACAGTTCTTATGAAGTACAATGTCATCTTTGTGTTTATATGCATGTTAGTGAGAGAGAGAAAGAGAGAGAAAGAGAGAGAGAGAAACAGCCATGATGATTGTGTTTGAATCATTGATGATTCTCTTCAGTTTGTGCCGCTCATGTTTCTGCTTCTGTGGGTGTTATACAGTTTAGAACCCCAACCCATCAGACATGCATAAAGTTTAAAAAGTGACTGAAAGCTAAAAAATAAACGGATTTAAAAGTATTTAAAATTTGCAATAGATTCTTGGAAGGCACCAGCTGACAAATGTTCTTGTGCAAGGAGTTGTTGATTATTTTGACAGCCTGCTTCTTGAATATTGATTCAATTGGGCAGACAGTAGCCAATGATTTTCTTAGCCACACTGAAAAAAAAAAATCCTGTTGTTTTTACAAAAAATTCCATGGCAGCTGTGGTTGCCAGAATAATTCAATAAAAAAAATACAGTAAAAATGTAGACATATTTACAGAACAGCCTGTAAATGTTACAGTATAAAACTGTAATTTACAAAAAAAAAAAAAGCAATTTAAACCAGTAAATCCAACAACGCACACTGCTACTAAAATCTATTAGGTATTAGGTAAAAGAGGAAGCCACATGAAGAATCTCACAGAAGTAGCCTTTCCACAAGTTCAATTATACAGAAGTTGCCCAGAGTCGCAAACACAAAACAACATCATGGTAACACACATGACACATGAAAAAATAATGTAATAAACATTCATTAAACAACAGAAGATGTAACATAAATCCCAAATGTGCATAACTGATAAAAACAATTAGGAACAATTATTTAAAAAGGAAATACTTTCAAATGTGAAGTGTCACACTGAATTCTGGGAATGTCAGTTTACAGTTTTTTATTGTAAATTATAATTTGATGAAATCTCCGGTTGGATCTTTTACAGTTTTTCCCTTTACAATGTTGTACAGTTGAAATTACACTAATTTTTTTTTTTTTTTTTTTTTTTTTACAGTGAAAGTACAATTTGCTGGCATCTCATGCTGTGACTAACCCATACCAGACATTTATGCTATTTTAGCAATGAAGACAATATCTTCCCATCTGAGTTTCTAAGAAATGATGATTCCTAGAAAGCTAAGTGACTCAGCTGTGGTGACAGTTGAGCCCAGAAGTCCTTCTCCTAATTATAGATGTATGCCTCTGTAGACATTGCAGTGACCTGTGTTTGTCATATATCTCTATTCACTATCATAAGGCAGTTTTTGTTGAATGTGTGTTGGGGAATTTCATGTCTCATGCAAAAGTCTGTGTTGTAATGCCAAGCAGAAAACAATCACAGGGTTTGTAAGGATGGAAAAGTACCCAAAAGCTCTGTACATATATCTTACGGGAAGGTGGACTTGGTGAAAGGCATGAGAAGGTACTGAAAAACATTTAATATGAGAATGAGATGAACAGCTGGCATCTCACTTTGTTGAACTGTTCAATAAAGTTAATTCTTCTGAGACCTGGAACTTCGACTCTGAAAGATTTCCTTGAGACCTGAACCAGAGACTTTAAATCTGCCACAACACGTGTAGCTAATATAAAGTTGATTTTGGTGATACAAATAATTAATAAAGTAATGTAAATTATAATTAAAATAATAATAATTTAGGTATTTGACAGAACTGTTAGTTCCCACCATGACCCAAATCCAAACATTTGTTCTTCCTTCTCACTTCCTCCCCCTGCCCATGCATATGCAGTGAAATACATTCCTACAACCCGACATGTGAACAATAATGAACTAGTTCATATTTACTTATTCTTAATAAGTTCTTAAATACAAATCTAAATATGCTCTTAGAAATATTAATAATAAACAAATACACAACTTATAATAATTAAACTCATAAAACACCTATTACAAATGGCTACAACAATTTATTTTAAATTAACTGAAGCAAAAAGGTTTAAACTGCTTCCGGCTGTTACAACCTATTAATACACCCTGACAATTTAGTCTTTAACTCAGAACCAACTCCCAATAGACTGGAATTTCTAGTGTTCTTTCTTTGTACTTGTGGTGTGGCATTCAAGGAAATCTAAAGACTGTAAGCATTTCCATTCATCTCACTGTCATGATGTCATGAGTTGACAAAAATTACTTGGCTACTTTTGAATGCTCAATGCTTTTGAATGTTACATTCAGTGTTACTCAAGGTTTCCTGGGATTGTCTCGCCAACACCTACTGTACAAAGCAAAGCATTACAATCTCTAGTCATTCCAACGATAATTACATATTGGCTTAGTTGGGTTGATCCACCTGAAACAAACATCTTTTTTTTAACAGTGCCTAAGAAAGAAAGAGAAGAAGACAAGACAGAGAGAAATGACCAGAAACCAGCTTGACATATACCGAGAGAGTGAGATAGAAAGAGAATGAGAGACAGAAAGTCAGACTTTCAGACAGTGCCACGACTGCCGGGTACCAAGTGGTATTCAAGATTTAGAATGAGCAAATGAGAACTGAAACAAACAATTTCGTATGGTAGAATATTTCATATATTGTAGGATGGTAGTAATATATATATATATATACACTCACTGGGTGGGCACTTTATTAGGTACACCTTGCTAGTAACAGGTTGGACCCCTTTTTGCCTTCAGAACTGCCTTAATTCTTTGTGGCAGAGATTCAACAAGGTAATGGAAACATTCCTATTTATTATATTTTGGTCCATAGTGAGTTGCTGCAGATTTGTTGGCTGCACACCCATGATGCAAATCTCCTGTTCCTCTATCTATTGGATTGATATCTGGTCACTATGGAGTGGAGGCCATTTGAGTATAGTGAAGTCATTGTCATGTTCAAGAAACTAATTTTGAGATGATTTGAGATTTGTGAAATGGTGCATTATCTTGCTTGAAGTAGCCATCAGAATATGAGTACTCTGTGGTCATTAAGGGATGGACATGGTCAGCAACAATACTAGGCTGTGGCGTTTAAACAATGCTTAGTTAGTAGTAAGATGCCCAAAGTGTGCCAAGAAAATATCCCTCACACCATTTCACCACCAGCATGAACCATTGATAAAAGGCAAGATGGATCTATGCTTTAAAGGACAAGTTCGGTATTTTACACTTAAAGCCCTGTTTCAAGATCGTTTCTGATGAAATAGAACGGTTAAGATTAAAATTTGGACACTGCTGCTGTCCCGAGAATTTTCGGTTTCTCCCACATCCACAATGGTTGCATAGGTGCACAGGAACAATCCTTCCTAAAACGATGTAAGCTTCACTCACTCGTTTTCATTCACTCCTTCAAGTGAACAGTATTAGTGGACTATAGGGAATAGTGAATGAGGGTTTAAGGGCCGATTTCGGATTCAGCCCATGACTACATGCCTAAATGCATTGAGCTGCTGCCATGTGATTGGGTTGATTGAATATTTGTGTTAACGAGCAGTTGTTTTGAATGGTCATGTATATGAAATACTGAAATAATGCAAATAGAAGGAAAATATATTAAAGAATGTCCAAACAGTTTTTTTTTTTACATACAATATAAGTCAGTGTTGACCAAATTGGAATTCACCCCATGTTTCATTATGCTCACCTGTTTTCCATATACTGTTTGTTAGTATAAATGGTTTCATTGTTCAATTTACATATTTGTGAAGACATTTGTGACATATTTGTGTTATCTTGTCTGGGAGGGAAGAAGGACCCTCATACATCAACCTTATAATTAACTGCATTATATTATTTTAACACTCAACTGAAATTTAGTATTGATACCACTATCGTATTAGCACTATATAGCATTAGTCTTATGTGTAGCACAATGTATATAGACTATGTTAATTTTAAAAATGTATTTCAGCCTTAATATGGAATAAAAGGACACAGTTCTGCAAACTTTTAGATATTCAGAAATTAGAGTTGCCTGAAGAAGAAAGACAGTCTTTTGTATTTTTACATCTTTAATTCATTTTAATAATTTAAAAAATTGTTTTGAAATAAGTCTCTTATGCTCATAAATGCTGCATTTATTAAACTGAAAATACAGTAAAAATAGTTATAATTTAAACTTTTATTGTTGAAAATACAGTAAAAATATTGTAATAATGTAAAATGTTATTATGATTTAAAACATATTGATTACAATATATAGAAAATGTAGCATTGGTGCATGTTGATTCGGAGTTTGTCCTCGCAGGAGATTGTATCATCCCTTCACGTGTTGAACTTGGCTCATCTGAAATCGTCATAAAAGGCTGGATCCAGCTGATGAACCACGGGATGGGCATCCCGAGATAAAGCAAAAAAGCAAATGGAAAATGATTTGCGTAGCTGCTGTTCATAACATTACGCAAAGATAATCATGTGCATTTGATCTGATATAACTGGAGTAATAAGGTTATGAGATGCATTATGTGAATGCTTGGCTAAAGA